TAGTATCTGCTACAGGCTGATATATTGTAAGAGAATTCATGTGTTAATCAAACCAAATATACTCTTGTGAGCATAACACTTCTGAATGGACAGAATCCTTGCAGCAACCTTCTTGCCTAGACAGGGGAGTGCCAGCTGGGATGTCCATGCACACGGGAGAATGAGAACACTCCCCGGGAGATATGAAGGCATGAATAGTTTAAGGGAGACAGTTTCCTGGTTCCCCACGCCTATAAGTACCCTTTCTTAAAACTGATTTGCTTCCAAATTGATTTTACAGGTTACTTTTTACTTCTTGGATTTCAGCAAAATTGAAGGAGGGGGTAATCTGGTTACAAGATAATAGATGAAAAGGGTTTTTTTTGATACGTTTCCTGCATTCTCTTCTTATTTATGTAAACAAGGTTTCTTACTGCTTATGTCTATAAAGGTGAAAAAAAAAAGATATGGAATTGATGGTAAATCCCACCTTATTATAGCAAGAGGGAATATTCAGGTATAGGTGTATGAACTAATTGAGGAGAACAAGAAGTTAGTTCTATCCATTTCTTTAGGAATGCATTTCTAATAAAATTGTGCTTTCCATGTGTATTAACATTCTTGTCAGTAGTTATTAATGTTGTTTAGATCAGTTATGTGCATTAGTAATTATAACTCAAACCAGAAGAAAATCAAATACTTTTAAGCCTTATGGCCATAGGAAAAAAATTTTTAAATCACTTTATACATATTTTGTTACAGAGAAATATAATAGGCAGATTAATAAAAGCCTCTTACGCATGAAAACATAACATGGTGAGAAAATTCTGTGGGGAAGTGGAATGGAAATACGAGTTTAAGGAGAAAAGAGAACAATGCAGCCTTTTTTACTTTTTTGTTCATGTATTTTTGATGCATGAAGGCGGTTTTCAACCTGGTGAGGCTTTTAGATTTCATTAGATACATTTAAATGACTGATATATGTTTTAATTAAAAATTTTAATAATTCCAATATGCCTGAAGTATAGCCTTTGCAATTAATTAAAATTCTAATGAAAAATTTAAATATCAATGTAAAATGTGTGAAAAACAGAATTTAAAAATCCTCTTAGTAGCTATATACACAAAAATGTTTAATGACATTGCTCTATACATTGTTTTCTAGTCCTAAGGGTTGTTGAACCTACAACAAGTCTCTTTGTGGTTCTGGGTCTGTGATAAAAGGTCCTCCTTCAGTGTTAGGGCGAGAATAATGGTGATACAAGTAGAGGCACCTGGTCCGCTGGGTGGAAATGTCCATCAGAAGACAACTGGTATTTTTCAACTCTTGGTGCGTGTGTGGCCCAATGACTAGCAAAACATACAGTGTTAATGGACCTAAGGACATATGTTTAGCCATTTTGCTTTTCTTTCGTCCATGGCCTTGAGATTTACCTCAGGGCCAGCTAGCCATATTGTGACAACCCATATAGGATAGTCACAAAATTGGTGAGAAAGATGCTGGCTGAGGAACTGTGGATGAGTATATATAGGTGTCTTTACATATCTTCACCATTATTAGAAATATTATTCAGAGATTTTATTCTATGATAAAGAGCTGATGATGCCATCCTTGTTAATGAAGGAATGTGCATTATTGAATTCCAGGTGGGCAGTGAGGTCAGTCAAGCATTTTTATACAGAGAATGGAACCATATGAACAAGACATAGCAGATGTGAGCGTTGCACACAGGTTTTGATTCTGAAGGAGAAGAATGAAGACACACGTAGCTGGAAAACACTGTTATGAGGTAGCAAGTATAAATTTATTGTAGAATTTTATCCATATAAGGAGTTTCAGTTTGACTGTGATTTGCAATCGTTGGGAGCCTTTTAAAGCCCTCTTTTATGGTACAGGAATAAGCCATAATTAGGATAAAAAAGACCCATCGATTCAATAATGATCTGATTTACTACTTTATTATCTGGGATGTGATATAATGAGGAGATAGACCGTAGTGGGCTTTCCCGCTTTTGTTGTGAATTAGTCTTCCTTTAATCCTTTGGCTCATCTTCCAGGCACTTTTAAATCCAGAGAACACTTACTCTACCCAGTCATTATGTTTAACATGCCATCTTATGGTTTGAGCACCTGCTCCAAGAAATCTAGTCACTGTGAATATTTGCGCATGAGAAAGAATGTGGATATGTTCATTCTTTTAAACATTTTTCTTCGATTATATTTAGTCTATGAGAAAGAAACCAGACTCATAAATTTGTATTCTCCTGATTTAGTATTCAGATCGTCTCCATGTCTGTTACAAAAGCACCACAAGCGATTATTTACAGATTGTGTTGTTGTTGCAGGTTTTGAAAAGGACTATAGGGAATAATTCAAATTACAAATGTTTTCACTGTGCTGTTCTTCTTATTTTTTCTTTTGCCATTGATTGACTGCTTTTCATGTTATAAATATATTAACATTCTGATAAATAATTACTGATATTGTTTTGATCAGTTGTGTCTATTGGCGATGATAGCTCAAATAAGAAGAAAGGTGAAACTGTGAGAAACCTATATGGATATAGTATCTTTTTTCTCTTTCATCATGGATTGCTCTGAGGACTGCTTGTGCAGACGAAAGTCCAGATGTCACGTGAATGATTTTAGTGACTCAAGTGACTGGATTCAGTCATGCATTGGACACTGTAGGGAGAAACCCATGATAAAACATTTTAGATGGAATCAAAGACTGGTCTGGCATTGCTTCTTACTGGCCCAGGCTCTCTGAGTAATTGCCTGCTATCTTTGTTGAAGCATTGAGCGGCTTTAGCAACAGGTAGAGGAATTCACGCAGCGGTCCCAGCGAGCTTTAGTGTCAGGGCTGGAGGAAGGTCCAGGGAACCTTCCTGTCCTGTGTAATAGTTCCTGAATTTGTTAGCATGTGGTTTTGTGAAAATCTTTCCACTTCCCTGCCCTTAATGTTGCGTTAGGTTTTGGGAGCTTTAAGAGTCATCTTCCTCTGTGAGGGGCCTGTACCCTCATTGTCTTTGCTTCCCTTTCCCCTTTTCTTCTCTTACACATCTTCACAGGGTCAAATAAAACCTGTGAATTTCTGAGCCATCGCGGTGTCCCTGCACTCAAGAAAGGAGTCATCAATAGCTAAGGCTCTCCCTTAGATAGGGGGTACCATTTTCGTATCCTTGTTTTATAAGCCAAAGGCAGCTTAGGATGTCTCATAATAGTCACAGACGTGGTAAAATATCTTCGACCAAGTCAAGTCACCACTCATCATCCCTGACTCCATGGTTGTTAGCCACTGGTTTTCTGACCAAAAAATAAAAGACCTGGAAGCCTGACCAAGAAGTAAATAACGAGATGTTTTCTATTCTCTGATATCCTTCTACTTTACCTTCTCACCACCTTTTTCCTGTGTTTGTGAAAATCAAGTGATATAACCAAAATGACCTGGTCATTTATGGAATTTTCAGTGTTGTGGATTTTGTTATGAATATTCAGGGCTGATTTCTGTGTATTGTGAGGCTTTCACCAACCTTGCCTGGCAGGACTACCTGGCTTCAGCCCACCTGGAGATACCACAACTTCTATAATGTCTAGTTTCTTACAAATTGATGCATTGGCCATCCCCTTCCATGCCCTGGTGTCCTTGTGATGGCTTGGTTATGATGATGTCTAGATCTGTCANCAGTGTCACTGGCCCTCATATGTGGGATCCGAACCAGGGCCCTCTGGCATCCCAAGCCAGCTCTTAACCAACGTGCCACTCGGCCGGCCCTATCCTATCTTATATTAAGGATTGACCACATCATTCCACTTCCTCCCATGGCCTTGTGGCCACAGCACCTCTGACCCTACTGATCCCATCTTTCCGTTTTGCAGATTGCCTTGCTTACATCAATGTTTTGTCCCAGTGGCCACAGCAGGCCCAGATCCTGTCATCATCATGTTTTGGCCTGTTCTTCCTCCTGAGTCTCAGGGATACATTTGCTGTCCGTGGTCCCCCTGTTGTCTTGGCAGAGAAGGGAGAGGTGATTCTCCTTCCCAAATGGAAATGGCTCAAATTGACAGGGCTTGTTGACTCTAAGCAGTGAAGCGAGGAGTCAACACAGTTTGAGCTGAAAAAATGAAGATAAGTTGGAGCTATTAAAATAGAACAGTTTTTTGTTTTTTGTTTTTCTTGGAAGAGAATAGTGACCTTTTCATTGTCTCTACAAATGGGAGGCAGCAATTGTGTGAGTAATCTGCAACAATGGCAAAGCATTGAACATCCAGATTGAGTTAATGAGATTTGGGAGTGAGCCTCCCAATCAGTGTTTCTAATTATAGTGTGCTTTTAAAAAGTTTAATCTACCATGGCATAAATGTGTGCAAGAATAATGAGATGTAGCATAAAGTGCTTTGTGAACTTGAAAGTCTCTCAGATATAAGTTTTCATTTAAGGCTTTGAAACCATAGTTTCAAGGAAACAACTTTCCTTTATTTTTATTTGAAGAAGATAGTATTGTAGTCAGTTGTAACTAGGCTAAATTGGCATTCTGGTTCAGATTAGGAATTTAACTATTCATTCTGTGTCTCTATAGGGAAATGTATCTATAGGGAAAAAAAGGGAAGAGTTTTAACCTTCCCCGGGGAAGTCTCTAGGCTATCAATGGAAGGATTTTTAAGTATGAATGATTTGCATACAGAGAACTGAGAATTGACTGCTTTATAATTATAGACATTTCTGAGGAAAAAAGAAACTAACAGTGAAGTTATATACAACGCAGATTCTCATGTTGTACACATTTATTTTTAACTTTGTGATTTTCCTTTTGCAGAAACGCTGGGTAGTGTGGATACTATTGTCAAGATCCCTCCACACTTGCTGAGGTAAGGAGACTGGAGTTGCATAATATAGTGGAAGTAAAAAATGCCCACCATGTTTTCCTGAAAGCCCAGATAATCTCATTGGTTTATAGCGTGATACTCACTGACTGTCGGCTTTTTGGCATCCATGAACTGGGGTATTTCATGAGGTTGGCATAATGGGAACTCGATTGCACTGGTTTCTACCTGCCTGTGGAGTGAGTGGTCCATGAGCTACAGGAACCCACTGTGGAGGTCAGGGGTGAAAGGATAATGGTCAAGGAGAGAAATGACTATAACCTAAGAGAGGATATGGACATTGGACAGTGTCTTCTGCTGCAGGTAGACAATGGTGCCCCTCTGAGAGGCTGCAGCCCTCCACCGTGTGGGGTGGATTCAAGCTCCCACGGGCCCCTCGGCTGGACACCATCACACACGCTCTGTAGCCTCCTGCAGCAGCCCTGAGACAGTGAATGAACCTATTTCCCCACCTTCCTCACTTCCATCATCCTTTTATTCCTTCCATGATGAGAGAAATACATGCCCTTGGTAGAAAATTTGGAAAGAACAAATAAGAAAGTAGTCCATAATTATATCACCTAAGGAAAACCACTAAAAACAGTTAATAGATTTTCTTAACAGGCTTTTTTTTTTCCACACACACATATATTTATAAATTAATGTGAAATTTTATTTACAAGTTTGTTTCCTGCTTGTTTTTGTAATAAGCACCATATGAAGAACAGTTTCTAATGTCAATATATGCTCTTCAAATTAAAATATTGCATGTTCTTCCCTTATATGGCTGCTGTAACATAATTTGTGTAACAGCTTTTTTATTATTAGACATTTGGATTGTTTCCAGAGGCTCTTTGAGATTATTAAAAATACTGAATTTACAGTCTTTCGTTGGATGTAATTTCTATACTGTCAAGACACTATGATTTATTAGGTATTTTCTCTCTTTTCAAGTAGATTGAACAAGAATTATGTTTTGGTCTTTTTAAAACATTTACTACTTCTCGTATAGTATCTGCTACAGGCTGATATATTGTAAGAGAATTCATGTGTTAATCAAACCAAATATACTCTTGTGAGCATAACACTTCTGAATGGACAGAA